GTTGTTCAAAAACTTCTTTGCCTATCCATTTTGGACGAATGCCCAAAAGTTGCCAATTCTCTCTAACACGCTGTAGCATGTCAGAAAGTCGTCATGAACTCCTGCCAAAATAATTTTTTTTTACTTTGTTATGGTTCAGTGGATCCCAAACACATTTCGCCTGCAATGTTGTATGACATTAAAATAAATAGTTAGATAATTATAACAATAATGAAAAGGTCATTTAAATAAAAATAACTTAAGAAATAAATTAATTATACCTGAAATTGCTTAAACCATTCGTCTTTATCCGAAACTTCTCTAAAACTCTTCAAATTTTTTGTATAATTCTGCTGAATTATATAATTTATAACCCTGACAGCAGTCTGACTCGACCCGAAACTAAAACAACAATAATTGAATTAGCATAATTAAGTATATAAAATTATATTAAAAATGGAAATGTGTACTTATAAATAAAAATCAATAAATAAGAAACTTACGAGTTCCCTTTAGGCCAAATCCAAAATCTCCCATCAATATGAATCTCACTCGGATCATCATCCCCTCGAAGATCTCTCCCATCTATCTGATCATCGTCCACACCAAGATCGTCATCACCCGACTCTGCATGATCATCGGATGCAGGTACATGTGTGGGATGTGGGGTGTGACCAGTCTGTGTGGGTCGTGAAGAGGTGGATCCTCCAGGCTGCTGGACGGATGGGGACATCTGTGTAGGAAGTGGGGTGCTGGATCCTCCAAGTTGCTTCACGAATGAGGGCATCTGTGTAGGAAGTGAGGTGCTGGATCCTCTAGGCTGCTGCACGAATGAGGGTATCTGTGTGGGAAATGGAAAACTGTGCTGGAAGGATGAGGGCACATGTGTCTGCTGGAATATTTTTTATTATATACTATTAAATATACTATTAATATAGTTTATTAAATATATAATAATTAATATAATATTTTTTATTGACATATAATATAGTTTTTATAAAACAATTTTTAATTATAAAACCGTTTTTATTAACATACATATAATATATAATAATTAAATACATAAACCAGTTTTTTATATATAATATTTTATAACATATTATATATAATATTTTATTGACATATAATGTTTTTTAATATATTATATTAATATTTTATTGATGTATAATATAGTTTTTATATAATATTTTTTAATTATAAAACTGTTTTTTATTAACATATAATAATTTTATATAATTTTTTTAATTATAAAACAGTTTTTATTAACATTATATATATATGATATATAAATATTTTTTATTAACATATAATACAGTTTTTATATATATATTTTTTTAATTATAAAACCATTTTTATTAGTCCATCTGGGACCCCACCTGGTTTACCATTCCAACAGACACAGGTGCCGTAATCCTTCCAGCATAATTTTCTATTTCCCACACATATACCCTCATTCGTGCAACAGCCTGGAGGATCCAGAACCCCACTTTCTACACAGATACCCTCATTCGTGCAGCAGTCTAGAGGATCCAGCACCCCACTTCCTACACAGATGCCCCCATCCGTCCAGCAGTTTGGAGGATCCACCTCTTCACGACCCACACATATTGATCGCACCCCACATCCCACACATGTACCTGCATCCGATGATCATGCAGAGTCGGATGATGACGATCTTGGTGTGGACAATGATCAGATAGATGGGAGAGATCTTCGAGGGGATGATGATCCGAGTGAGATTCATACCATTGATGAGAGATTTTGGATTTGGCCTGAAGGGAACTCGTAAGTTTCTTATTTATTGATTTTTATTTATAAGTACACATTTTAATTTTTAATATAACTTTATATACTTAATTATGCTAATTCAATTATTGTTGTTTTAGTTTCGGGGCGAGTCCGACTGCTGCCAGGGTTATAAATTATATAATTCAGCAGAATTATACAAATATTTTGAAGAGTTTTAGAGAAGTTTCGGATAAAGACGAATGGTTTAAGCAATTTCAGGTATAATTAATTTATTTCTTAAGTTATTTTTTATTTAAATGACCTTTTCATTATTCTTATAATTTATCTAACTATTTATTTTAATGTCATACAACATTGCAAGCGAAATGTGTTTGGGATCCACTGAACCATAACAAACTTAAAAAAATTATTTTGGCAGGAGTTCAAGACGACTTTCTGACATGCTACGACGTGTTAGAGAGAATTGGCAACTTTTGGGCATTCGTCCCAAATGGATAGGCAAAGAAGTTTTTGAACAATTCTTAAGTATTGGGAATCAGATGAATTTAAGGCTAAATCTGAAATTGCAAAGAAGATGAGGGCATCGAAAAAAGGGGGTTGCCTTAATGCTGTTGGAAGTATTAGTACTGCTGAGCATGCTCGACGCATGGTAATTATTACCACTTTTTAAAGTCATATTTGGATTTATAACATATATTATTAATTTAAGTTAATTTTTTTATTTAGGCTAAGCGTTTGGGGAGACAACCATTGATGACTGAGTTGGTTACCAAAATCTGGACAAAAAAATTGGGGGAATTTATTGACGAGCGTACAAAAAATGCCCTGGTAAGTAAATTTATGTTTATAATTTTTTTATTTTTTAAGAAATTTTGTGATGTGATTTTCACGTGGCAGGTGAGATGTTGTGGCGTGAAAATTGAGTGGCAACTGATAAGTTGTGGCGTTACAATCACGTGACTATATGTTTTTTATTATTATTTTTATTTAATTTAATTTCATTAACTTTACTTATATATTTAACTTGATTTTTTTATTGTATGTGTAGGAGGATTATTGGGCCTTGCTTGTAGAATTTCTGACCCATAATCCTCAGTATACTCCTCCTCTGGGAAAACTGGTTCATCCAGATGTGGATTTCTATATTTGGAGTCAAGTTGTTGGGGGAAAAGGGCCTTACAGGTGCTTTTTTGTGATGGAAATTTGGCGGGCACCTTGAGGAGTGGGGATAGAACTCTGTATCAGAGAGCTGCGGACGGTGAAGGGGGGTCACGTCAAACAAATTTGACACCAGATCAGTTAGAAACAATAAAATAATTGGCTAGACGCGTGTCCGAAGAACGTGAGGCGGCATTGGAGGCCCAAATGGAGGCGGCATTGAAGGCCCAAATAAAGGTAATGAGGGGTGAACATAATAGAGAAATGGAGGCAATGGAAAAGAGGCAGGCTGATATGGAGGAGCAAATGCGATAATTTATGCAAGCATTTGGTAGAAATCCCAACAATGGTGGCCAAAATAATAACCACCAAAATAATGATGACTTTCTTCGCGACTTTTCCGACGACTCGAATGATCCTTCTGCTTAGTTTTATTTTTATTTTCTATTTAGTTTTTTATTTGCGTACTAATATAAATTTATAATCATATTTTATATTTAAAAATATTAAATTTAAATTTTAGTTAATTAATTTTATTATATTAAGTATATTAATTTATATATTTTGATATACTTAGTTTTATTTTTGATAATTTGGTTTATAATATTGAATTTATTAAATAAATTATAATATTTAATTTATAAATTTAATGAAACAGAAAATAATATTAATTATTATATCAGAATTATTATATTTAAAACAGAAAATAATTATAAAAAAAAAGTTGCGACGTGTTTTCCACGTCACAAATTAGTGACATGAAAAACACGCCGCAACACACAACGTAAAAGTGAATATAAAACCTGCTATGACCTCTGCTCTGCTCTGACTGCCTTTGACCCCATAAAGTTTGTTACGGCGTGAATTTCACGTGACAACGTTGTGACATATTTCCCACGTCGCAACAACATTTCCATGCGCTCTCCAGCGACGTGTTTCTTCAGGTGGCAAAAACAAAGTTGTGACATGATTTTGGTGTTAGCGACGTGGGAGTCACGTAACAACACACAACTTATTTTGTAGTGTCAGCGACGTGAAAATCACGCTGCAACTTTGCCACGTGACTTTCACGCCGCAACAATGCCAACAGTCATATTCTCTGTCTTCACATACCTGCAAAAGCTGATCATGCCAGTCTGAATTAATTTTCTTTTCCCTCTTAAATGTTGCGACGTGAATACCACGTCACAACTGACTTTTTCAAAATTTCAAAAATCCCTTCATCTGAACGTTAGACCAATTAAAATATTTTATATTATATTTTTACTAGCGACGTGATTTCCACGTCGCAACATATTTTTTTTTTAAAAACTCAGACAACCATCATACTTCTTTATTTTATTAATAAAATATGTTGCCACATGATTATCACGTCGCAACTGTCTTTTTTTAGCCACCTGATAATCACGTTAAAAAAAAAATACGTTGTTGGAGATGATATTTCTTGTAGTGATATATATGATTCTTGTTTTTGTTATTCAAAAATAATTCATCATGTAATAACAATGTGTTCTATTACACGATTATTCAAACAAATCACATAATAAATTTATGAGAACATTTTAAAATTTGATTTACATAATTAACGATTTCTTTTACATGCAAAAAAATGTATATATTGATAATACAAATTTATTAATTATTAATATTAAAAGTGAAATAATTTAATGTCAAGCAATTTTTTTATTTAATTACTTTTAAATAAATTTTGTGATTGTGATTATCGATATATAAATAAAATATTAGGATATTAATTTTTTACCAATTTAAGAACTATATTTGCAATTCACTTTTTGTAGTTAATATTTTGATTTATTTATTTATTTTTTTTGGAAAAGAGAGTCAAGCCTCTTGTATAAAAGAAAGAAAGATAAGTATAAAAAGAGGAGGACTAGGCTAAAATCTCAATGGAAAACACATTTAAAATTAGGTAAACACTATAGGTCTCTATTGAAGTCCACAAGAACATTAGTATGGACCTCATTTCACCAAAAAAAAATTGTTTTATGTTAGCTAATCTATTTGCACATTTGTTATCTTCTCTATAAATATGAGATATAAAAAAATTTAGACTTAAAGCCTAGTAGGTATTTATTTCATCTGTTTCTAATTGATCAGAGGACCATGGAATGCTTAGAGAAAGCCAAAACCATCAACTTGAAATCAGACTTTAACAAAAAATTAGACCAATTACTTGAGAGAGTATACTCCATAACAAAAATAGCCCTCATGGGCTCAGAAAAAAAAGCATTTTCAATTTTAAGAAAACAAGCAAAATTGCCAATATGCTTGGACTGATGATCCATAAAGATCTCCCCACAACCCACCCTTGAAGGCGTGCTAACAGAAGCACCATCTGAATTCCCCTTGAACCAAAGCATAAGAGGTGGAGAGTAGAAAGCCTCCATAATTCTTTAGGAACAAGAGGTTTGATAGGAATTTTAAAAGCCTTAAATAGGATAAAGTCTTGGATATCGACATGGGCACCCTGCTTAATCCATTTACCTGCCCAAGAAACTTTGGAGGTGATAGGCCTAGTGCAAGATTTCCAATGGTGAGCATGATCCATGAACCTGAGGTTGTTCCTAGCTCTTCAGATTTCTTTAATGATATAAACACAAGCAGAAAGATAAATGGACTTAGCTTGAGCCAAAAAGCTACCATTCAAAATACTCCAAATATCCTACAAATTAGAGATAAGCAAACCCGACTGGGAGAATCTAGCCAACCAGGTACAGATTCTCTGCGCAAATAGCAGTCAAAGAATAATTGATTAGTGTAACACCCCAAAAATCTATATTAATTATTTAATTAATTTCGTGTGAATATTGATGATTATTAACGAATATATGAAGTATTGTGATTTATATGATGCATTGAGGTGTGTCAGTGATACATTGTTTTGGGGTAATGTTGGAATAAAAGAAATATGAGGATTACTTAATTAATCTATAATTATTTAGAATTTAAATAATTATTTAAGGTTAATTAGATTTAATAATAATATTTAGAATTATTATTATTATTATTATTAATAAAATAAAAAGAATAATGGTGTAGAGACAAAAAAAGCTAAATGGTAATGTCATGTGGATTAGTGAGGGTAAGATGGAAAGACCATAGAAAGGGTCTAAGGTTTAAACAAATAATAATGAGAAGAGTGCTCATTTTGTGCAATCGTGAAAAGAGCAGACGCTGTGAAAGAGGTAGGGCACAGAGAGAAGAGAAGAGGATTTCATTCCATAGAACTGGAAAGAGATCAATTAATTGCTAATAATATAAGGTAAAGGGTTTAATCGCATTTATTATAATTGATATCGGGTTAAGATGTTGGTATATTTGTGTTTTGTGTGATGACTTTGATGAAGATTGATGAAATTGATGAAAATCATGTGTTAAATGAATGAATAAATGAATCCTTGATGAATGTATGATGTTAGGATCTCTAAATAAGTGTTATAGGCTATTATGAATGTTATATAATCATAAGATTTCGAATTATGAAACTGGAACTTTTTACGGAATCGAATTCGGAGGTCTGAAAGGCCTCCAACCGCGGAAAACCGCAGTGTGAGAAATGTGGTTTGGCACGCAGCACCAGGCGATGGAAAGGAGACGCATCTCCAGGCGATGTAGAGGCGAGAGAGAATAGTGAGCCTCTGGAGGTCAGCGCCTCAGTGACATCGGGCGATGAAGAAGCAATGTAGCGCCAACAGCAGGGCCAGGCGATGTAGTCTGAAAGCAACTTTCAAAACATCATAACTTGAGTTTCAGAATTCCGTTTGATGCGTCATTCAAAGTATTGGGAAGTTGACATGATGAACTATATTATGATTGAATTATATGATTGTTTTTATGCATGATTTTAGTATCTATTTTTTTATGAGATTTATTTATTACATGTTGTTATACTATGATGTCTTACTTTGATGATAAACATGATGTCAATTATGAGGTTCTATTATGGTGATTTGTTAATGATGTTGTTGTGACATAAATTATTTGATTCATGATGATGATTTATTAATGTGCGTGTGCAAATACAATACATGTTATTCTGATAAATCTATGATGTTTCATGATGTTGAAATACCATGAAATTGGTGTAGGTAATGAGTATTAGGATATGTTATTGTTGTATGATGGAAACATGTTGAATTATATGCATGTTTTACTGAGAGGGTATTGGTATAGAATCACAAGAGAATTATGGCCGAACAGGTACAAAATATCAAAAATGGATTGCATACTCGTGCGCGTCTCCGGGTGATAAGGACGCCGCCTGGTCGTTGTTGGGCGAGGCACTAAAGCAAAGAAATGGGTGGAAAAAGTGATGCTACTGGACGGTCTCACTCACACCATCATCAGACGATGAAGGGGCGAGAAATGCATCTCCAAGAAAACAAAATTCTTCGTCGGACGATGGAGGCTAGAGAGGATGAGTGGTGTTGTCGCTCCCATGTCGTCGGGTGAGCCTCGGGCAATAGACAACAGTAGGATCTTTAAAGTGTCATAACTTGACTTTTAGAACTTCGTTTGAGGCCCTATCGAAGCGTTAGATAGATAACGCGATGAACTACATGTGGGTGGAATAAAATGAGTAAAAATATGGATGTGTTCAATACCTAGGCTAAGATAGGCTTAGAATCTTAAGAATTAGTTTTTGATGACGAATGTTGCCATGATGAATTGATAATACTATAATGATGAATGTTACTTGTAGTGACATTTGATGACGTGTATAATAACTTTATGTACACATGTTAGTGATGATGATTATGTGATTATTATTGTGTGGAGGATGTCATTATGATGTATGTGATGATATTATGATGATTTTATGAATGATGATGTGTTTTGACTAGCCGTGGTCATGTGTTATTATGTTATTGCGCATCATGCATTTATGGCATATGATTAGGAATTCGGTCTAATGATGTTGTTAGGACTTCGATCGAGTGATGGTGATAGGAAGTTAGTCCAATTATGGCCTTAATCCAATAGTGTGGATTGAGTGTAATATTGTGATGTGCTCTTGTTCCAAGCGGGAATAGATCCTATTGGTGGAGATATTTGGAGAAACGATGACTGAGTCATCAGTGAAGTTTTGGTACCACATGCATGAGTCAATGATGTTGCATTTCATTATTTGCAACAATGCATAATGATTTGATTAAGTGATGTTGATGATGTTGTGATCTAAGTGGTGTTTGACGATAGATGTTAATATGATGTTATAATGAATAATTTATGTGTATTGATGATATGAAAGTGTAAGTATAATATGTGATATATGACGATGTATGGATTTTATGATGATGTTGTTTGTAACTACTATATCTTTTCCTTATATCTTTTGTAATGAATTATGATTACTCACCCTTTCTGCTTGGAAATGTTGCCTCAAAATATGGGTTACTTTCAGGTAATCAGGAATAGACGTAGAAGCTCGAGGATAGCTTTATGGAGTATTTATTTAGTTTCGTCAAATAGATGGTTTCTTGCTCTGATATGTAACATCGGGTTGGGAAACGTTTGACTTGAATATTGTGTTCCTTTTTGTTGACAAAATAATATAAGTCATTCTAGTTGTTTTAAGTTATTGAAATATCATGACTATGGATGATGTAAATTGATGATGATTTGAAAAATATTATAAATGAAGTTATGTCGTCATTATGATTTCCACTGCATAGTATTTTGAAGAATATGTGTTGGTTTTCCGAAAAGGATAAATGAGTGAGATAATTGTTGAAAGCTCGTGTTACGGGTAAGATGTTTTTGTTTAAGATGTTTTATGAATCATGTGACACCCTCGTTGGTGCTTTACTCTGATTTATTTATTAAATTATTTGTGGATTATTCTTTGGATTTAGAGGAGTTTTACATTAGTGGTATCAGAGCAGATTGGTCCATCAGACCAACTTATCTAATGTTCTTTGTTCCTTCGTATGCGACATGTGTGTGAAACACTATTGGTACTTGCTTGTTTTTATAATTGTTTTTTTAGGGGTTTGTTTGAAACAAGTGAGGTAAAAGATTTTGCTTCTCTGAGATGTTTAAGGTATGAGAGTTGGTGCAATATAATGTTGAGTTGCAAAAGCGCAAGCGTTGTTGGAGCTATGTTGTTTCTTGAAACTGGAGAGAGTACAGATTTGTGATTTTTATCTGTCGATCAAGTTGGGATGTCTTTGAGGGAGAACAATCGTGTATTGTTGTTGTATGCTTCTCTAAGAATAGAAAGCAATGTGACGGCTAGTGATATGCCAGTGTTGTATGATTCCTGATGTTTTTCCTAAAGATATTTGTGACTTTCCTCCAGAGTGTGGATATGAGTTTGGTGACAGTAGTTAACTGATGTTTTTATCTGCTAAGCAAGTAGGATAACTCTTGGGATATGAGGCTCAGATGTTTGCATGTATGTGACAACGGTTGTATGAGGTTGCATGTGGATTACCAACAATTGAGTAAGGTAATCATTGAGATTAAATATCTATTTCAAGGGATTGACGATTTGATGGACCAACTGTTAGGCGAGTATGTCTACCGTATAATCAAATTGAGGTTTGGTTATCTTCAGATTCAGGTGAAGAGTGAGGATAACTTTTAAAACTCGGTGTTGGTATTATGAATATTTAGATAAGTTTGTTGTGGTGTTTATTGAGGACATTCTGATTTAATCTAAGTTAGAGTAAGGGCATGTTAAACGTTGTAGTTGGAATTACAGTGTCGAAGAGGAAGAAACTTTATGCTAAGTTGTCAAGGTGTATATAATGGTTTGAGGAAGGGAGTTTTCTTGAGAAAGCTATTTGGAATTATGGTATATGTGGATCCATCCAAAGAAGATATAGTTCTACATTGAGAGACTCTAAAGTCGGTTATGGAGACTAGAAGCTTCTTGGTCTTAACTGGTTACTATCACAACTTGTTTGAGACGAGGTCAGGTACATTATGTTGTTAATGAATGAATTGAGGGAATGAGATGTTTGGTATTACGAAGGATCTGAAGATATTGGAGAAGCGCATGGAGATGCAACTTATGCCGAGTAAGAATGATTAGAGTGGAGATAGATTTTGAGGAAAAGAGAGGTAATGGTAAAAGAAATTATGGAATTATTTGCAAACCTTAAAGGAGATTAATTGGACCATGGTACTTTAGGTAACATTGAGCACAAGTTCTAAAGAAATGCTATTATAGTTTAGTAACGATGGTTTATGCGCCATCATGGTTGTTAGCTACCTATTGACAAATTGAGGAACTAATCACCCTTAATCTCTTGTTGATAATAGACGTGATCGTGTTGGATGTGGTAGACTTGTTTTGCCAGCTTGATGGTGTGTAACGTGTGCTAATTTTATGTGCCAATGTTGTTGGTATTATGGTTATGTTGATGTTCTTATGACATTG